GGGCGGCGGGGGGACCCCCAGCGGGACGTGCATATGGGCCAGCGCCAGGTAGAGGAAGAAGGGGCGTCCACTGTCGCTGCACGGGGAAGAGGGGAGAGCGTTAAGCCGGGTTGGGGAAGGGGAAGGTGGTGGAAGGAGGTCACCAGGGTGGTGGCACTGGGGACACAGACCGGTGGTTCTTCCTCCCAGGAGCCCTGCAGCCACCCCTGCCTCTGCCGCAGCTCTGGGGGGGCAAAACCACCTTCTGGGTACCCTCTCCCCTTACAGTGGGGATGCTTGGCCCAGTGTGAGCCACTTTTCCCCTTCTCCTGCTTAAATCCCTCCCCGTTGTTCGCTGTCCTCCCATTTGGGATGGGCTTGCCCCTTCCTCCATCTCCCAGTGTCCCGCAGCCAGCGGCGTGCCAGCCACCAGCCAAGCACCCCGCGTCCCTGCACCCCTGGCACCCACCCACCTCCCTCCCCTCTCTCTCACGGGGCTCATTTTGGCCCTTCCTCCCCCTCCCCAGCAAGCGTTCAGCCCCTGACGGTGATTTTAGCAGCAGAGGATGAGCAGCAGAAGGATGCTCACGCCGACCCCGAGCAGCCCCGGACAGGGAGCGCGGCACGTTCGCTCGCCGCGCGCTGCCCCGCTGCCTGTTTGCTTTTAAATCATCAGAGGACATGTCCTGTTTTCTTGTTTACGGCTATATTTATCTCCTCCAACGAGGCCCGTTCTTCCTCAGGGACCTCCAAGGGGAAGGGTGGGATGACGAGCGGCGGGGAGGGGCCGGATCCCAGGGACGTGCCCCATCCCGCGCACCCCCCCAGCTCCGGCCACCCCATCACTGTCTCCAGAAAGCTTTTGGGGCCCCTCCGACGTGCGTTTCGGCACTTCCTTCCTCTACCCATCACCCACCTGGGGATGGAAAATGAGTAAATCCCATCCCGCCCGGAGCTGCCGCCGCATCCTTCCCCAGCGGTGCTGGAGCCCCACGAAGGGCCATGACCCCCCTGACCCCCCCGGCACCCTGCTCAGTCCCTGCAAGACACCGGGGATCTGGGGGTGCTGATGCACCCCTTCCAAATTGCCGCTGCAAAAGGCTATGCAGCACCTTTCCCCTTGGGATGCCAAAGACCCCGGAGCAGGGAACGCTGCTTCCTCCGGCTCGCATCCCACTGGGAGCACCAGGTGGACTCCAGCATCCAGACGGACTCCCAACCATGGTGTTCCCGCTTGCTTTTCGCACTGACATTTCAGAATTCTCCCGAAAACTGAGCAGACGTTTAATCAATAACTTAAGACAAACGTCCCTGACTTTTGCTCCCCTGTTCACCGCGCTCAAAGTGTCCCGAACAGAGGCGAGTCGCGCTGCCACGAATTGCTCAACCTTGACACGACTGGTTAAAAAAACACCGAGATGACAAATCCGGTGTTCTTTTGTTGCCCCATAATGGATGAGTCAGGCAGAGGAAAACTGGAATAAGCCATCAAAGAGAAGGAGAGAAAAGGCAGGCACCTGCTTAATCCTGTTCTCCATGAACGCAGATAACCCCAAAACAGTACTGGGAGTTTAAAGGTTTCTCCTATTAACCCGGAGCTCACCCGCTTTGTTTCACAGCCGAAGAGCATCCTCGCAGCCCGGAGGGAGGAGGGATGACCGCTGCCCTGCAGCCCGGTGCCCGGGTACCCTCCAGCCCCATTACAGGCACCGCGTGGCCGGGCCACGCTGCGGCCGATTTTGGTACCCAAAGGGGATAAACTATAGGAATTGTGCACACAAAACAGTACCCAGGCTTATAAGGAGCCGTTTCCCCGCAGGCCGCTCCCTGCCCAGCCCTTTGTTCGCCCCCATCACACAAACTTTTCCCCAAGCACACCCGCAGCCCCCCCCCCGGCCCCCCCCATGGCCCTTCCCCGGCTCTGTGTTATCCCTGGATGTAGGTGCGGGATGGGACGGGCTCTGACACGGCTGCCCGGCGGCGCTTCCCCTCCTGGCGCTGCAGGGACACGTTTTGCAAAGTCACAGCTCATAATCCGCCGATAATAGGGATTAGAATTACGCAACCCATCAGCAGGGCTTCAGGGTCGTCGTCTCGGAGAAGCCGCTTTGATCCTCGGGGAAGAGCACGCTCAGGCTCCTCGTGTCCCTGCGCGGCTGCGGGAGGCAGACCCTGGAGCTCAGGGTCCAGCACTCTGCCCCCAAAATGGAGCAAACCCCACATAGAGAAGGCTGTTCTGGTCCCACCACCAGAGGCTCTGTGGGCACCCACTCAGCGCCCGCTCCCACGTCCCCACCAGCATCCCCCACCCACAGAGGCACCTCCACCGCCGAGCAGAGGGATGAGGGGTGGAAGACAGAGGGATGGCAGCGTTTCCCTCCCATCCCCGCTAGCTGGGACCCCGCTGCACATTACCCCTGGGAAGGAGGTACAGCGCAGCTCAAAGGCTTTGACCTTCCTTGTAAATGGTGGTTTTAAACACAGACGGTCCCTTTAGAGGAGATGCACCAAAAAGCTTCCACGTCAAGCCTTGCAGGACATGGGTGACAGCCTCGGTGGCTTCTCCCTCCCCTAGTTTGCTGGGAAGCCGAGCCACAGAGATCCCAGATCTGCTCCCCAAGGACCACCGTGCAACACCCGTCCCCACCAGCATCACACCAGCACCAGCCTCCCCGCGATCCCGGCCGGAGCCGCTCGGCTTTATCTGCCCTGCCGCCTCCGCTGCGGGACGGGCACGGCCCCAGCCCTGCAGGTCGCCATCCAACGGCCAGGTCCTGCTCCCACGCATGGCAGAGCTCAAGGAAAAACCAGCTGTGGTGGGGCACAGCCACAAAACCCCTCCGGTTCTGCAGCCCAGGGGGAAGCAGCCCTGGGGACACCCCGCAGCATGAGCAGGAGACGTTTGCGGTGACCCACGAGCTCCCCCGGCGAAGGGGAAGGGGGACGGCGGGTGACATCTCACCTTGCCCGCTGGATGAACCGCGCTGCCTCCTCCGCGTAGCGCGCTGCCAGGCTGCTGAGGTTGACGGGCTGTTGGATGATGGTGACGTTCTCGAAGAGAGGAAGGGCCACCTCCGTGTAGCAGTCCTTCCTCGCCACCCTGCCGGGAAGAAGCCATCCCATGCTCATCACCGGAGTGGGGACCAGTGTGGCAGCAAGCACGGAGCCTGGCTGCTCGCCTGGCTTCGCAGAATGGCGCAGCCAAGGCACGGAGCGGAAAGGGGACGATGCTCTGGGGACCGACGTGCCTCTCCAACCTGCACCACCCTGCTGCAGGCTGCACGGGGGAGAAAAACGGGGGGCACAGAGCATAAGGGGAGGCGACCGCAGCAAAGGGCAGCGCTCGGGGCTGGGGATGCCGGTGCAAGTACCCACCTCCCAGTGCCAGCACATGGAAATTCCCCGCATTCCCCTACCTGGCAGCCGCCCCGTGGCGCGGGCAGGGTGGGCAGGGCGGCAGGTTGTAGCCAGGGGTGTCCGTGCAGCCCATGTCGTGGCTGTAGGGGATCCCAAAGTAGTAGTCGAAGCCTGAGGGGCAAGCGAGGGTGTCAGCGGGGACAAGGCGGCCGTGGGATGCTCGGCTCATCCCCGCCAGCGCAGCCCTTACCGCGGAAGCTGGGGTGATGGCGGCCGTGGTGTCCCAGGTGCCACTTGCCTGTGTGGAAGCCACAGAACATCATTTCAGAGGTTAACGCAGCTACAGCCGCCACCAGCCGTCACCACAAGGCGCCCACAGCACTGGGGGCTTTAATCTAGCAGCAAGACAGGCTACTTGTTTGTGCTGGCCGCGTTTCCAGAATGCCTTTTTTATTTGCAGAAACTCAGAAAAAATGCGTAAGGTATCTCATGCCCGTGCAAATCGACCGTCTCCAGCCTTAAAAGGCTCTTTCATGTGTTTGTGTTCAGCGGAGACGACTTTCTAACCCCTCGCAAACAACCAGCTTCGTTCTCTGACCTCCAGCACACTCTTCCTCCCACCAAATGCGCCGGTCCGAGAGGGAGAACTGCAAAAACGAAGGGGGAAAGGAGAAACCGAGGGCTTTTCTGCCAGCACAACGTGCACAAGCGACAGGGGCTGCAGGTACAAAAGTCTCGCTGCCAGCTGGGGCTCCGCAGGACGGGGGGACCCGCGGTGACAGGAGGGTGCCCAAAGCCATGGTGCCAGCGGTACCGACCGTCCCAACCAGCACCGGCGGCATCACCGCGGCATGGGATGCGGGATGGCAGAGCTGCTGTGCACAGCCGTGTCTGCTAAGGAAAACCCGGCGCGTTCCGTGTCAGGTGAAGCAATTAGAGCTTAAATGGAGAACTGGGGCGGGCCTGAATTTCAGGCAATATCGTCTACCTGAAAATGAAGGTTTTAAGCTTTGAACTGCAAAATCCAAGGGGGACGCGCACAACCTCTCGCACATAATCATTTAGACTTTCCTTTAATCACCAGCGTTTCACCTAACTACCTGTGGTACCTCCTCCGCAGGGGATGGACACGGGTATCTCTGTTGTTCCCCCCCCCCGCCATCTCCCGGCCCCGGATGCCCCCTCGGCACGGCGGCCGTTACCTATAGCCCCCGTGCTGTACCCCGCCTCCCGCAGGACCTCGGCCAGGGTGGTCTCGTTCAGGGGGAGGCCGCCGACCGACGTGACGGCGAAGTTGTGGGTCACCCCGTTGCGCGCCCCGAGGCGCCCCGTGAGCAGAGAGGCGCGGGATGGGGAGCAAGTAGAGGCAGCCGAGTGGAAATCCACGAACCTAGAAAAAAAAAAAAAGGACCCTTCACTCGCAAGCCCCTGCGTGCCCCAATGCTGCCCTGTCCCTCTCTGCTCCCATGCACGTGTCCCCTGCTGCCCCGGGGATGAGGGTCTGGAGCGGGGGATGAATCTCGCATGTCGTAGCAGGGATGGATGGACCCGCACCCCGAGGTGCTGAGCTCTGGGCGCCCTCCCCACGCACCCAAAACCGTGTCGGTGAAACCCCCTTTGCCTGCTGGTCCCTGTGGGAGCGAAACCCCCTTTTGCTGTGGGACGGAGTAAGCAGGGATGCTTGGAGAGGGTCGGGGAGAGGGGACAGACGTTACCTCATTCCTTCGGCTGCCAACTCATCCAAATGGGGGGTCTCCTTCGTCTCCGCCCAGTTGGCCCCAAGATCCCCCCAGCCCACATCATCTGCCAGGATGACGATGAAGTTGGGCTGCCCGTACGCTGCTCGGGGAGCCGAGAGCCCCACCAGCGCCATGGCCAGCACCAGCACCGCCCGCGGGGACGGGGTCCCCATGGTGCCACACATCCCCTCCCACCCATGCCGGGGCACCGGCAGCTTCATTCGTCCCCTAACCTCCCTCCACCGTGTCCCCGCGGATGCAGTTGAGGTCTCCACAGGTCCTCACAGCGATGCGAACATCCCCTCCTTAGCGGCTCCTGTGGGACTGGGAGCTCTGGGTTTGCTCCCTGGGCTGCTGCTGACCGAGCTACAACGTCCCCTCCGTCTTTCACACCCAGCCACAGCCGATATTCCTGAAATCGGCGCCAGAAAAGGTGTTATTCTTAGAAGTCAAAAACACCCTTTGAAGTCACCGTCACCCTATTTTTAACTTTCCTTCCTTCCTGGTAAATATCTAATTAGCCACCAAACCAAAGCGGTATTTTTCCCTCCAGAAGCGCGCTCGATCTGCGGCAGCTGCTGCTCTCCCCTCGCCGCAGCCGGGG